CTCTCTCTCTCTCTCTCTCTCTCTCTCTCTCTCTCTCTCTCTCTCTCTCTCTCTCATACATGTTTATACGTATCAACCCGCCGTATCAACTCGATATAACGATGTTTATCGCGAATGTTTAAATAAACGAGGCAAACTTGGTGCAATTGATCTCATGCGAAATGCAAAACTCGAAATTCCCAAGTAATTACCGCAGAAGGGTTTATATCGATATTACGAGCCACGTACGCGTTACACTCGCGGTCTACTCCGAAACACTTTCGAACAGTGTATGCTATAATTTCACATGAATTCCCCGATAACTACATTAACATGTCGGACCGGAAGCCCCGCACACGATCGCGGCGATTTTCTTCGCCTAACGATGACAGCGAACTGACAGCACCCGCGGCTGCATCGGCGCGCAGTGACGTTTCGAGAAGCAAGATCATGGCATTAATTAGGTGCACGCACTGATCTGTTCGCTGTCCATCGTTGCGCGTCGTTTACAGCAGAATGGACCAGATATAATCATGCATATTGCCGAAATAATTCATTAGGGCATCAAACCTCTCATTCCGTTTCATTTAATTTGTGTATTTACCATTCTTTTTCTCCGAACATATTCTATAAACGAAATCTGAAACTCATACGGTTATCCTTCTTTTAATTTTTCTCACGATATACTCGGTTTCCAACGCTTTTTTTCGACGCGACAACTGTAAATGTGGACACTGATGAATCTTATTCCTCGTAGCGCGACCGCGCCAGCATTTATTACTTAAAAAAAGTAGATGTGATAAATAAAGAGAAAGAAAAATATTCGCGTCAACAGCGATCATTTATCTGACATAATTCTCCCTAATCGGCCGCCGTGAGATCCGGCCGGCTGAAATACTTTTTTGCGCGCGACTCGGCGTCTTTTCTTTTTGCTGAATATTTTAAAAGCCGCGGACGAATCGCCTTATATGTATGTGTCATACATACGGACATCAATCAAATTTGAACGGCTAATCGAATTAGGTATCAGGAGCTCCAATATATCAAGTCCATCGATTGAAAAGAAATTAACGTGGCAATATTAACCTTCCAATTTTGAAGTGATCCTATTCATCGCGTTCTACGGTATTTTCGGTCGAATTTATCGCGCGTTTACGTTCGCGCCGCTCGCCCCGGCGCGAGCAATTAATCGTCATTGAAGCAACTAAACGCATTATCTTTCGAACATATTTCCGTCGCGGCGGCCAACGGGAAGGTTGCGCGCGCGCATAATCACGCGAGATAGAATTTTACGGTCGAGTCGCGATGCTCTCGAGATCCGCGAGAGAGCAGCCGGCCGGCATTCTCGCCCGTGTATTTCGCGCTAAACGTGGCTGTCTAGTTTTTAACTTTCGAGCGATTATACCGCAAATGAAAAACACGTTTCGCGCCGGTGCGCCACGCAGCCGCGCGCCGTTTGTATTATCCATTGAAACAATGCATATAAATTCCTTCTTTTTTTTCGGCAAACTCCCTTTAATTATTCTCTCATTCCTTTTTTCCATTTTTTTCCCTCGATCTCTTTTATACGTTACGTACAAAGCTGCAATACCGGTTCGTTGAACAAGTTGCCTTCATCGCTCAATCGAGATGGTTATCGTTGAACGACTGCTCGGAAATTAAGTTTTATTATTGAAACAATACGTTCGATGCATATAACAATACACAATATATACACACACACACACACACACACACACACACACACACACACATACGGAGTATCCTAAAACAACCTTCGAAGCTATCGAAAGCTGGAGGCATAGTACGGATTAAGGTGAACATAAAAGTCTTATACCGTTTTGCAATATTTGCAATAATTATCGAGATATTAATTAAAGAAAATTTGTGATTGATCACAATATGAAATATAGTAGCTGAGTAGTAACGACATCTGCCATCATATGCTTATACATTATGTCAAACTGAACAAAAAAGTCCTCTATCATTTTCCTAATAACTTTATAGATTTTTAGTTATTAATTAGAGAACATTAATATATTATCGACCATCCACCAATTCTTTTTGAGTTAATAATTAAAGATCTACAAAATTATTAGGACAAATGTACAAAGTTAGTAAGTAGAGGAATTTTTTATTTAGTTTAACCTAACGTACAAGCACGGCAGATGTCGTCACTACATCTCATCTCATGTGATCATACAAAAATCATCTTTAATTGATATCTCGATAACTATTCTCGTGAATAAAACAGTACAGGATTTTTATGTTTACCTTAATCCATACTAATCCGTGCTTCCAGAAGAGCTTTGAAAGTTGTTCTGGGACACCCTGTATATATATATATATATATATATATATATATATATATATATATATATATATACACATACGCATATATATTGTCGAAGGAAACGGAAAAGCTCGGAGGGCTATTAGATTTATTTCAACTTATGAACTCGAAAGGGCGCCTGCGCTCGTCGCTCAGATCGGTTATGAATAATCGATCGCCTCTCGAAATTCGGCAGGATTTATTGCGAATTCAATTACACTTAATAGATTCGATTACAATCCGATGGCCCCGAAATGCAATGTGAGTTATGAGCGACCCAATTGTGTTTTTCTCTTCATTATATAGTAAATCGGGAGAAGTGGAATCGGAAGACTATAGAATGGATTCCATAATATAATCATGACATTATTTTGTTATATCCTAAAGCTCACTTTTTAGTTGACCCGCAATTTCTGATTGGATTTTATCCGGAAAATAATATTTTTGAAAAGATGGTGTTATATACTCAACGTGATACGTAAATACATACTATAATGTATAATAAAAATGTTCAAATATTGCCTATGTATATTATATTAAACTTGAATCTGTACATTATATCAAAATAGAAATGTTAACTTGAATTCAATCCTAGATTCTGGATATAAAGCGAGCATTGCACTACAGGTTCGCTTGAAAAACTACTTATTACATTGAGAGGAAAAATGTTTAAGAAATAAAAGATATTTATGCGGTGTGTAAAATATTTACTTATTCTGATATAAGATATTTTTCAAATAAGAAAACATAAATTTTCTTAAAAGCTTAGCTTTTTAGGAAAGCAATTATTTATTCTACTTAAATAAAAGAATTTAGATTTAAGTAGAATATGTCATTAGTGTCTCTCTCTACTGAATAAATATTTCTTATTTTCTCTCTCAGTATAGGACTACTACGTTAAAACACAGCAATATACACTAAGAAAAAAATAGTTAAAAATTTATTTGTGGTATACAAAGTTTATTCATAGAAATCAATTTTATTTCACAGAATTTTATTTCACAGAAATAAACTTTATTTCACAAAAATAAACTTTATTTCGCAGAAATAAACTTTATTTTACAGTAATAAACTTTATTTCATAAAGAAATAAACTTTATTTCACAGAAATAAATTTTATTTCACAGAAATAAACCTTACTTCTCCCATAAATAAATTTTAAAGTATGTTTTCTCAATGTACAGAATATATTTTCGGTGAGCAATAATTTTAAATAGGTATACCTGCATAAAAATATACGCACTCATATTGGACGCTGCTCTTGTCTACGAACGATAAGGAGTAGTAGGATGTAAACAAGACATCAGCCGAGAGGACATTCCTAGTACGGCATTCCTCGCCGCTCGTTCGCGCAGTACCCGAGACATACGATATTTTTCGTACGCGAAACGTAAAAATCTCGAAACCGAGAGGCACGAGAAAATGCACGAAGCTTCATTTTGCGTACGTGAATTCACTCAAACGAAGCTGTGTGACGACGTGAGGCCGAGTGATGTCGATTTACACGATTTCACGATTTATTCACGACGTTTTTACGTCTCTCACCTGTCGACGTGCGTGCCGAGCGTGTATCAATTCCCGTTCTTTCACACATCAAGCACGAAAGTCGGATCGCGATACGTAGATGCTTCCGGATCGCTTCCTGACGTTATCAGTATTCTCAGCTGCAAAAGGATCGTATATACGTCACTGTGCATAGCACAGAGTATAACGTTGGAAGCACAATAATTCGGTCAAACATACCCGAATAAGATGTGCGTGCCGGCGTGGGAAGCTGCCTTGGCCGCTGGCGACAGGTGAGCGAGTCGCCGAGTGTAAACAAAGTGAGAGAAAGGTCGACCACTACACGCACGCAAGACGTTCCACGCAGGCGGCCGCGCGCACGTAGACTCGTGTACGCGATATATTCTTCGCTTGCGAGCACCAAAATCCCGAGACGCACGAGAATAGTTTTGCAAGTATTTTACGCCATTTTGGGTATACGCTAGCCAGGACAGCTCGCGCGAGTCGAGCGCCGCCGACGGGAGCCGAAGACGGCCGAAGATTCAGCAGCGAAAGTCACGTAGTCGCATCGGCGACGTGCACGCATAATCACGTATTAATTGGCAGCCCTTACTTGCGTACAAGGACGAAAATCGGGACAAGACTGCTCGAGGACGTAGCCTGGCCGTCCCTTGATACGGTGTGATATCGAGATCCTTAGCTGGGAAGAGTGTGTAAGTACAACGAGACAGTGAAGTCGCGGAATCACATTTGGCCCGCGGAACGCGACGGCTAACTTTCTCGAAAACGTATCCGGTCGAAAATATAGCGGTATAACGTCTCGCATCGGTTGACTCGTGCGGCAGATCGTGCGTGATTTATGATTTTTCTTGCGTAAGAGGACGAAAATCGAGACGGGACAGTTGAAGAACGTTGTCCATTCGCTTCGCGACGTGTACGCGAGCGGGACTTTCAGGCGGGAAACGTACGTGAGTAAATCGCGAGGTGAGCCGAGCGGTGGCGAGAGAAGCCGAACTCGGTCAAAGATTTAGTAACGGTCGTATCTCGCGTCTATTGACGTGTCTGTTAATCACGCGTTAATTGGCGGCTCTTACTTGTGTACAGGGGTGAAAATCGGGACAAGACTGCTCGAGGACGCAGCCTGACTGTTACGTGACACGGTGCGACATCAGGATCCCCTGGGAAGCATGTGTGAGTATAAGGAGACATTGAAATCGCGAGGGTCGTTCGCGATACCGCGTCGAATGTTCTAGAAAGTGCAGCCCCTCGCGTCCACGTTGATTCGTGCGGCAGATCGTGCGTCGAATCGTGATTTTTCGCGCATAAAGAGACGAAAATCGAGATAGGGGAGTTCGAAAACATTGCTCAGTCGTTTCGCGACGTAGTATGCGAGCGGGACTCTCAGGCGGGAAACGTACGTGAGTAAATGGCGACATTTTGAAATCGCGATGTTCGTTCGCGACGCCGCGCCGAACGTTCTGGAAAATATGGCAGCAGCACCTCGCGTCGACTCTTGTGGCAGATCGTGCATGATTCGTGATTTTTCTCGCGTAAAAAGACGAAGATCGGAATGGTAAAACTCGAGAATGTCGCTCACTTGCTTTATTACGCGGTACGCGATTGGAACTCTCGGTCGGGAAGTGTACGCACTGACAGAAAAATGTATGATATTTGGAACTATAATGGCATAGTAAAAAGATTATAGTTAGGAATATCTTTTTTATAGTAAATGTCACCATAATGTTTGTAATATTTACAATATAAGCATAGTATAACTGACTCATGTAAAACTTTTACCAAGAATTATAATTATTTGAAATAAAAAACATAGTAAGGTAGCAAATATTAAATGGTAAGAGAAATTAACTATTTTATATAGTCAATACAATTGGAATATTTGGAAAATATGGGTACATATTCCCAAAGTGTCCTTTACTATACACATAGAGTAATAAGATGGTGACTGTAAATGTGTGTTCATTCTGCTATATCTTCGTGTTTAGATGAACTATAAATATATTTGAGGCCAAAACGAACTATAAAATATAGTGAGATTATAGTTATTCCAACTATTTTTTTCTTTCAGTGCGTAAGTATATCGCGGCATTTTGAAATTCGCCGAACTGACCACACTGAGAGAAAAATATAGTTGCCTTTGGCGTCAATTATACGCTTTTATGATTTTAATCAGAAAAATAATTGGAAGAACCATTGTTTTAGTAAGTGTTATTAGAAAGATGGTTCTTCTAATTATTTTTCTGGTTAAAATCACAAAAAAATATAGTTGACGCCAAAAACAACTATTTTTCTTTCAGTACAATAGCGTGGCGCCGGCGATGAAAAATTCCAAAGAAAGTAGAAAAATTAGTAGTAACGCCGCGTCTCTCATCGATATAAATACGTGAAAATTGCGTCTTAATTCGCGATTATCGTCGTGACCAAGAATGAAAGTCAGGATGGGACAGCTCGTAGGACGTAGCGCGGTTGTTCCGTGACGATATCGGAATTCTCGGTCGGCGCGCGTATGTGAGTATATTGCGTCACTTTGAAGTCGATGGCGCCATGCAGAGTGTTGACTAGAAAAGTCAACCGCAAATTTACAAAGTAACGTCTCATCGTGTTCGAGACTCGTGTGCCTAATAATGCGTTAATTCGCGATCTTCCGCGCGTGTAAAGACGAAAAGCAGAACGGTATAATTCGACAACATTGCTTGGCTGCGTTGTGACGTAGTATGCTATCGGGATTTCCGATCGGAATCGTAAAGGAGATTACGCACGACATTTTAAAGCCGCGGAATTGACCCGGTGACGCGACTCCGAGCATTTCTCGGTGAGAAAACCTATAATCAGTTGAAGATTGAATCGCAATGGTCGCGTCGGTCGACGTACTTGAAACATCTATACGCGATTTTTTGCTCGGCCAAGGACAACAGGACTGGATACTACGTGGATATCGTTCGGCTGCTTGACGAGAATGCGTCCGAAAAATATTATTTCGCGTCGATTAACGTGAGTGTGAAAGTGTTGTAAATTCTTTTTCTAGACGTGTGTGTTAAGCGAGGACCGAGCAAGCATTGGCATCGCGCAGTTCGAGAGTGTTCCACTTCCTGGCCTACGACGTCGTCAAGATCATCGGCTGTGAGGTAGATGTGAGTACTTTGAAACAAGATAACTCGGTCAAGGACGCAGAACCGCACGCGACTCAGAAAACCTCGGAATTATCTAATGATTTAGTTATGCTAATGTAGTTATATATTAATGATTTAGTTATATAACGTCTCGCTTCATGATGTTAGTCGCATCGATATATGTGATATTAACTGATATCGCAGCTTTCGGTTCTTCCGATCAATTGCGTATTTCGAGGAATCCCACATTATTATATAACGCGATAGAGTAACAGATTACATGAGTAATGACTTCGTATAATAGTCGTGCAAATAAGAAGATGTATAATGAGATAAAAAGCACGGAAATAATTTGGTAGAAAAACTATATAGCTTGATAACTTTGCCGACATAATAACTTATAATATGCTCATAGTTTGACGAAATTTGAAATGCGCGCATAATCTCGTGTAATGTGTATAATAAGTAATAGTCATGTAATCTGTAACATGTCTAGACATGTTTAAGAGTGCGTTTCATTTCGTGTTAATGTAAGATATAGTGTAATGTTAATGTAAGTATAATGTATGATATATAATTCATGACGCGCTCTTACCTTTGCATATTATCTCATCGTATTCGCGTAAATGAATTCTGTCGACGTACAGTCGACAGGGATGTAACCGTGTGCCGAAGAATAGAGACGAGACATTCGAGTCTTTGGAAATTAAGAGCACAGGAAAGGAATAAAATTGGTAATGGCGCGATCGTATCGTCGCTACCGCTATTTTATTGCGCGCAACGCGTCTCCCTCGGCGGAGCAAGGAGGGCGAGAAGTGTCGGTTGGCTCGTGAAATCGCGATTGAGATGCTGAACTTAATTATCCAAAACGTTAATTTGCCCGTTGTCCATCGGCGCGCGTCATTACCGTCCGGGGAAACAACACTACGGCACGGATATGCATCGCGACGCGCCTATCTTTATTGCGCGAGATAACGGAGATAAGACGCGCCTACGAACGCGTGGGTAACATATTCCGCGAGAGAAGCAATAAAGAAAAAGAAAAAAAAGATACTGGCAGGAAAAGATTTTATCGAGGCTCCGGGATGCCGCGAGGTAATCTGCGAAAAGTAGCGGAAACGCGGCGCGTCCAGCTCGATGCGTGTCGTGAATTTAACTCTTTATTGCACAGATCTCTTCGAGATCCGGCGCGTTCATCAGGAAATTACAGCTCGGCGAATCTCTCGCGCGGATTGAGTAGTAACACTCTGTAAGAGACACTAATGCTCGTAAAAGATTCTTATCGGCGATATCTCGGGCTTATTAAATTCTGATGGAGCGCATATGCGCTACCTTCAAAGCGGAACATCAACCAACGTTTAATATGTGTCTGCGCATGATAGCAAAGGATGACCTTTCGTGTCACATGCCACAATTTTTTCTCACGTATACGAGGAGTTCTGTGTGTGTGTGTGTGATAAATAAGGAACATTTTCCTTCCTGCTGACAAGCTCCTCCGTAAATCTGTCTTAATTTACGAACGCTTACGAGCTCTTATTTGGACGATTATACTTGGTTTATCAAGAACTAACTTTTGTGTCATTTGAATGAAAGAGCAATATATGCTAGTATCATTCCATTATTGTATTCTGCTGCTATAAGTTTACCATATTATTCTTCGGTTTCTCTTTCCGGTGATATCGCGCCGCGACTTTAATAGAGAACCACGACGGTGGTCCTCCGCGTTTCACGAGTCATCTCGTCACTCGCAGACTCCGCGGGCGGGCTAAAATGTGCTATGAAATACGCGATGCGGTAATCCGTTTAATTCGTCGCTTTCCGCGAGGCCAGTTCGTACGACGAACGAAGAAGGGGGACACACTCGCGGGAGCCGCTCAGGAAGCCCACGGTCGGCCCACGTCGCGTGGCCGATCTCGCCGTTCACGACGCGGCGCTTTATCATAAATTATAATTAACCGCATAAATATGCATTCGACCGTGGCATAATTCGACCAATAACAGTAAATTACTCGCGAGGCGGAGCGACTCGTCGCCCGGTGCCGCAATCCCACCCGGTGTATATGGAGAGGGCGACCTACCGCGCCGCCTCTCTCCTCTCTTTCTGTCTCGCTGATCCTCTCCCTCTCCCGCCATCCTCTCTTTCTGTCTCTCTTGTCCAGCAACGCCAGCGAGCACCCACGATAATGCGATTAATTGGTATTGCTAATCGCCGATAATTAATATAAATAGATGAGTGCAATTATTAGCAGAGCGGGCGCGCGCATATCCAGGTGCAATTCGTTCCGCGCAAGCCCGTCGATCTCGTCGTGTTTCTCATCGCGCGCGCGATGAAAACACCGATGATTCCGACAGGGACTTGCCCGACCTGGTTACTCGCTAATCGCCACCACCCGCAAACCAAATTCGAAAATCCCTCCTCGACGTACCGTCGTTAAACTTCCTCAAACAACGGTCATAACCCAAATATTGTTTAATTGTATATCAAAATACATTCCCAAATTTTCTGTTTACAATATCGGGGCGACGTAATTGGGGGAAAAACACACAGCAGTGGCGTCGAAAAATAAACGAAAAAGTTAACTCGAGTATTATATTTCTTTTTTTTCGCACATTCGATCGAAATCAAATTTAACGTTATTAATAGGCTAACTGAAGAACGGTCGCGATAACGGACGTGGCTTTTACGGCATTCGTCGAATACTTTTACCGCATCGTTCCGCCATCGTGTTAATTGGACATAATTATGCGAGAAACTATTAACTGTCAATTTTTTATTTTTCGATCACGATCGCTTTATAACTATGGAGGAAAAAATTGAGGGGGAAGGTTAAAGATAAACTGTCGAATCTACACGCGGAGAGAATTTTATAATAAAAATTATAATGTTTCGTAACCGAGGATCGACATTCGTATAGATTGACATTCTACAGTAATTTATTATTCTTCCATTTATTATTTCTTTGTGTGCTATTTACATTTCAAAAACTGAGATATGCTATTAAAAAATTTCCCATGTTTCTAGCGAAATTTATTACACTGAGAAAAAATACTTAAATTTACACAACTTAAACTTTAAAATTTATTCATGGGATATAAAGTTTATTTCTGGGAGTAAACTTTATATCTCCACAAATATATTTCCAAGTATTTCTTTCTGCGTTTCACTCTTAGCAAGATAAATCTTATCTCAGAAAAATATATTCATTTATATCTATATGTTAACGCGCTCTGCATTCGTCCGATAATCTCCCACGTGCAAAATCGACGATCTAACCGCGTATATCAGCTGATCGTCATGTTCTTTGTATCACGGGACTCATAGGTGCACGATTAAAAAGCGTCGTGATTAAAAATCATAGAAAAGGAAAAGGAGTGGCACTTGTGACGCGTATACCCGCGACGGGAAGAGACGGGATGTCGAGGAGGGGTTTGCGCGACAAGCAAAACAGACGCGACGGGGTGAGGTCTCGTCGGGGGAGGAGTAGGTGGATGAGGGGGATGAGGGGACGCAGACTTCACGCACAATTAATTTCCTCAATAATTCCTAATCGAAGGCGAAGTTGAACGAGGCATAGGTCGGTGCAGCCCGGCAGCTGCACTTCCACTCCGTCTCTCTCCCTTCCTTCCTCTGTCCTGTCGTCACCGCCGTCGTCGTCGTCGTCGTCGTCGTCGTCGTCGTCGTCGTCGTCGTCATCGTCGTCGTCGTTTCCCGCGTCTTCGCTAATAATTATGTGTACGTTAATTAATTGACTAATTATTATTCCGAGTACGTCGAGCGGGAATTCCACGAGCGAGAGAACGGCGCTCGTTTCCTTCGCGCGATCGAGACGGAGAACGAGCGATCATTATTATTTCCTATTACCGGAGCGCATTTCTTTCCCGTTGTGCTCGCACAGCACGTGTACGTGTGCACGTGCGCGCGCGCGCACGAGAGAGAGAGAGAGAGAGAGAGAGCCTGCCCGCCTCATCGCGAACCGCACGATAATCACGTCGCATCGATAGTCGCGGCATAATGCGATTTTAATCTGCCTCAGCCTTCACGATTAAGATTAAGCGTCGACGGTATCGGATATCACGCGATTGAGGAGTAGGTTATCGCGACTTAACACTGTGAACCGCCTCACCTCACTCTCTCTCTCTCTCTCTCTCTCTCTCTCTCATACTTACTCTCTCTCTAATGCGCCTTTAATCTCTATCTTATTACAGATGTCGTAGTTATACGCGGTACGCGGTGCGGAATAATAATTAAAGTTTTTGCGACGAAAATGTAACAGTGTGATATCCTCCATTTAGCGAGCGTAGCTATCGCTGAAAATAAACAGAGCACACTGAAAATAAACACAATGGTAATGAGATAGTGTATGCAGAATAGACCGATGATGTCGCTCGCGACAGAGAGGGTAGAAAGAGAGAGCAAAAATTTTACCTTTCTACTAAGGTAACATATTTTGTGTTTGGTCTAGTTTTTTTTTACGATTGTAGTATACTAAAGTAGTGCGCGAGTTCTCGCGCTTGAACGTTCGACAGTGTCGAAGTTGAGTCTTACTATTGATCTGTCGACAGTGCGCGTTGGTTGCATGTAAAATTTCAAGAGGCTACAAGAGCCCATTGTTTCGCGAGACCGTATCGACGTGTTTTCGCGCGGGAATAGATCCGGGTTTAATGGACCGGATGATAGGCAGTGCTAAATGCTCCGATAGTAATAATACGGGTTTAAGGAGTTAACTTGGCCCAGACAGCGTGCCGTCAGGCATCGCGAGAGCGTTCCTCAGGAACAGCGCAGCGACGAAGGCGGCGGTTCGCATCGACAGGTCGTCGCATCGACAACCTCCTCCCTCTCGTCACCGTTCGTCCCCCCATTGTCATAACCCATAGAGGCGACCGTAAATCGGCGGGAAAGCTGCAAGAACGCTCGATATATCAATCCACGTCGGCTCCTATTTGCCGGTAATTAATCACGCCCACATCCAACCGGCGTACTTAGCATCCCCGGGCATTAGAGGCGAACTTTCCAAGAGCGAGAGAGATGGGGGGATAGGTAGAGACAGATAGATAGTAAGAGAGAAAGATAGATAGAGAAAGAGAAAGAGAGAAAGAGAGAGAGAGCGGTGTTATGATGTATCGTTTTCTCGTATCTCGGGTTATATTGTTCCCTCCAAGAAAACGTATCCCCGCGAATAACACCTTCTTCCCCCCTCGCCCCAAGCTCTCTCCCCGATTGGTCCCTCTCCTCGCTTTTATGTCCGACGTCCTGAGCGTCTTGTTCGCCGGAGGAAGTGCACGTCGTTAACAAAAATTTATTAACGTGAAATCCGCGAGACGAACCCGGCCGTGCACCGTTCGTTGTATCGTCGTGGAATTCCGCGCTCGAGCGATATTCAAATAGCGTTTTGCGATTTCCTTCGCCCGCTCTCTTCCTGCGCGTTCTCTCTCCCTCCTCATCGCGGTTTCTTTTTCCCTTAACTCCTCCACCTTCTCCGTTCGTCGCTCTGTTGTTCCTAGAAGAGACGGTAATTGGTTGAGAAACCGCGGTAGCTGAAGTCTCGCGTTAACCGACTGCACTTCTTTCCTTTTCTTTCTCTCCCACTTCTCTTTCATTCTATCCTTTTCTTTCTCTCCCTCCTCTCTCTCTCTCTCTCTCTCTCTCTCTCTCTCTCTCTCTCT